AGCTTCTGTCATCATCGCAATTTTTTTTTCCATGGCACCTATGCTTTATGCAGGGAAGTTGTCATTTTCTAACAATCAACTTTGACATAATTTGACACAGTACTTGATTTAAAACTATATGAAGTGTATAGTGTGCAAAACATTGTTCACTAAAATTGTTTAACCCTTCTTGTTTACGACCCCAACTGATAACATTCTTTTAAAATTGTTACTTCACTTCCTATATATCCCCACTCCAAACAATTGATACGACCTAGAAAACAAGTAAATTTTTCATATCTTAAATACCAAATATGACATAATTTTATGCACCCCCTGAAAGTTGGGCGACAGAATGATCTTGACGTATTTTTAGTCGCTCTATCTCTTGTGAAGCAGAAGATGTCCACTAGATGATAGACAGTACGACGGTCCATCACATAATCTCCCTTAATCCGGTTTTGTACACTCTAATACTTTGATGTGCTCTCGTACACCATGTAATACCTATGATAAAGTCCCGCAAAATGTCAACAAATATCCATCGCAAACCACGTTTTCCTACCTTTTAACTATGAAGTTGACAGATATTTCGTTCCCATTTAAGTAATTCGAGTTTGAGACATCTTTAATACAAAATGAAATAGAGAAACAAGTTTGACGCCATTATCATTCTAGCCTTACATAACAGGGGGTATGAAATGATTGCGAATGTGTGATATTTGAGGTATATCAGCGACACCGAATTTCATTGAATATATTGTAAAGGGCGTATAATTTTTTGTAATGTTTGTAATTATCTACTCATAAATTCAAAAATATTACCCATTCGATTTAGATGAACACAAAAGGCAGACAACTATTATTACGAGGTTTTGCAATTGCAATGGTGTGCAGGGAAATGATTGGCACAAAAGGTTCTATTGTCGGTAGAAAAAAATGTACCATTTCTTTTGAAAACTGACAGTAAAAATGTACATTAACAAGACCTTCTCATGTAATAAAAAGATTTGAATTGCATTTTCTATTTAAAATTTGATAAAAAATAAGCGTCAGTCTGTCCACTAACGCAAATACAGAATGATAAATGTGAAAGAAAAAAGAAAATTTAATCTACGTGCACCTGCAATATGCCTTTTAATTATGAAATAAGGACTTTCCCAATTCAGTAAGTGAAATAACCATAAATATATACCCATTCATAAATAAACACGCTAGTATATAAAACCTATTATTTTCCTTTTTTACGAACATTTTATTGCATTAATGAATTTATGTACCTATGAGCCACACTTGTCACAGGGTTATATATAAAATGCCCATTATAAAGATGCATGATTCAGAAAGAGAAAACCGACATGGTCAAATATGGTCGTACAACTATTTAACACGTTCGGAGATTTCGTGCCTGTTTCATTTAATCACCAGTTTGATAGTGCATGTTTTGATTTGAAATTGATTCAAACAGTGTTTCAAGTACACTGTCAAATGCCTCACTGACCGCATTTGCAAATTTAAAACGTTTGTCATAAGAAACGATTCACCCACAAAATCACGATTGGTTGACCAATAAAAGTTTCTTTCATTTTTCTTCAACGAAACTGGACAGAAATCTGTATAGACGATAACATCTCTGCAATAAATGAAGTTGTGCGGAAAATTTGCAAATTTTTACAATCTTTTTTAAAATAGCAGGAAGTGGACACTTGTAAAACCTGTCGTAAAAAAATGATATTTTAACAAATCAAAAGATAACTGAAAGGTCGTTGTTATATTCCGGACCTTTTACAAAACTATGAATTTCATGAGAATTTTCCTAAAGATACAACCTTATTTTTATGTTATGTAGATTTAAAAGCAGATTCCTTTCAATCAACTGACCAGATTATATTAAATAAAAGTATTATTTAAATTTTAAAACTTTTAACATTTATCATTAAGATCAAGTTTTTTAATTAGTTACCCAAAATAATGTTTTAAGTTATATGCTTAAAAATTTAACATGACCTTATAAAGTTTACTTTTTCTGAAAATTACATTGACAACACTGAAATTTAAAAATAGTTACACAATTCAATAGATTTTATGATTATAAAGCCTCTATAAACAATATTTGAAATAATTTCAGTTTTCATAATATTTGATAAAACCAATATTTCAAAACTGCATTCACAGAAATTTGTGTAATTATAACTCATAATATGTTTAAAATTCAGTTACACAGTTATCCATACTATTTTAAATAAATTTCAAATTATACCAGCCAAAGAAAAATGTATAAATAAGGCAAACAAAAGAACGCCCTTTTTTGTTAGATATGAAAAATATTCAATGAAGTGAAAGTGTTCCAAGTACTAAGCAAGTTTGACTTACAAAAGAGAACATCTGAGGGACACAGATTCAGACAGCTGGAGGACCCTGATTTTTAAACTAGCACGTGACATCAGGGGTTTTATCATCTCTTGCGTGAAATGCGTTTAGAATTATAATTTTCAACAATAAAAGTGATCTCTATGGAAATTGCTGGAGTTTGATTTATAATCATTTCATCAAATAAAGATCTTAATTAATTTATTAAAGGCATAATAACATAATAACCGCTGGACTATGTATTAATCTTCCCAATATTCATTCAGACGTCACCGTCCTCTGTAACATCTTTTTATCATTTAAAACCAGATTAAAATCATCATTTAAACTACAGTCTCTAGACTTTAATTGTTAATGTGTTTGCGTGCTGGTCGAATTCTGTTTTCATCCTGGCAAATAAAACTAAATTTGTTTGGACTGGAGGGCTGAATATATTTACTAAAGTCATATCTCGATGCAAAGCAATTACATTTTATACATCATTATAATTCAATATTGCCTCGTCTAATTTTTTTCAAATTCAATAAACTAATGACTTCCCTATGATGTAACAGATAGCACTTGCTCCATCTAAAACGCATCTGCGATACTTCACTCCGGATATTTCTCATCAGGTTTAAAATGGAATTGCGATGGAAAGCACTGATAGCTTAATAATATACATGTTTGTATTGATGATAAAATTGCGTTTTAATAAAAGCTTTAAACATAGAATGCATTAGTTTAACAAGCAAAGAAAGATACCATAAATCGTAAACTTCCACTTTAAATAACAAGTACATTTTCAAACTAAAATAGACATAGAACAAATCAACAGCTTTTGTCAATCTATTTGTCAATTACAGCACTATTATATGTCTGTCAAATGCTTCCTTTTTGTTTGAATCTAAAACCCGATCAATTCCATATACTGTATGTATTTTGTCCTACATATCTAAGCCTTAATAACAGTAACTTACCGTAATAATCATTTTAAGTACCTTGATTATTTTAATTGATCAGTGCATTGTATTAGTGCTTATCAAATTTTTCAACCACATGAAGTTTAGGCATTAATATCATCTTGTCGATGATAAAGGGAAACCTCCCAGCTAAATTATAATTTAACATCTTTAATAACATGGCAGCCTCATGTTCAATGTGAAATATATTAGAAACTTCAAAGATTCATCAAATTTTACCTTGAGATATTTCGTTACATGTTACTTGTTTCCGGTATGTAATTGGTAACGATCTATCATAATTATTTGTAGTGAACAAGAAATAATCGTGTAATTCTCTATAAAATGCCGCCATGTAAATATTTTATCATCATCAGGAATTCAATCACTTTAAATAATACAAGGATAATTATTTCGCAGCAGTCCCGGAGCATTGAGTATATATATATATTAATTTATATACTCACTACAAAATGAAGGTCTTTGATTTGTGACAGAAAAACTAAAATTTATGGAGAATGAATTGTCAAATCTCTGAAGTCAAGCAGAAATAATGGCCCGATAAAGTCTCGATTAACTGTACATTGATGTGTTTTCTATATAGCTGTATGCGGCAATAACCATTTGTTTATTGACAAAGCGGGGAATTTGATAAAATAGGACAGAATTGCTGATAAAGTACAAAATCAGTATGGTCCCCGTATTTATTCATTTTATTCAATACATACAAATATTTTGTTGACAGCTTTTCTTTTGTTTCAGAATGTCTTTGATCGTCATTGTGGGGAGATGTTTAAAGAAATCCCAGTTTAGCGCAATGAATGGTTTCAAAAGGACTTTTTATACCTTTGAGCATTGTTGTAATATAGGTATAAAACTTTGAATGTCCCTGATTGTATTGTTACCTAAAAGCATTATAGGCACATGACGCATTTGCTGACCAAGGACTTATTGAGTTGTTAATTTTTTTTTTTTTTTTTTTTTTTTTTTGTCGGTCATGTGGAAATATTCCAACAGTCTTTGGTATCATAAATGGTACAAGTGTTCCTGGAGACTTCAGGCAACAGGCGGGGTCAATAAGGGGCGTAAATTAAAGTAGACCTTTCATGTGGAGGTAAGGAACAAGCAAAATCAGTGTATCAAAATGAGCAAATCAGAAACCATGTTTCATACAAACGGAAGATGATGGGAATTATCAGGTTAATATTTTTATGGTAACAACCCTTAACCATAATGCACCTGTGAATTTTATAATGAATATAATAAAGACAATTTTATAGCAGGGTTCTTTATTCAATTTAATAAGCCTTATAAAGTGTACCATAAATCTAAAGTTAATTGCTCCAATGTACCCTGTTTTGTACTCTTTATTCTTTTTATAACAACTTTCATAACTGAAAACCATGTGCCTTCTACAAACAGTATTTCAGAAACAAGAACGTTTTACGAGACTCTTAAGGTCGGATCAAAAGATTGAAAAGTTTGATGACGGTACATAAAACAGCACAAATTTTATTTTTACGAGCCTTCATGGAGAGCTGGTTGTGTAAACATTTTTTAATCACTCGCATTAAATCCAGAGCGTTATGACGAACAAAAATCAAAACTGGGAAACAAAAAATAAATAATCGCAAAAAAAAAGAAAAGTGTGAAAATCAATCATGGACTAGTCCGGATATAGTAGAGATAAGCCCTATTCTAACAGCTTACCTGTAAATATGTTATAATCCCGCGTTTGAAATCTTCCCAAATCTTTACATCAGTTTAAACACTTTTTTAAAGCACTTGTCAACAGAAAAGCCGATATCCAATCAGCGTCTATCTGAAAAATATAAATCATACGTACATACAGTTATCCGTTCATAGAATTTTTAAATATTTACATTGAAAAAGCATTGAAATCACACCATATTTATAAATATCAATTAAAGTGTTCAAAAGATTCAATTTTTAAACACCTTCATCTTTTCAAAAAAAGTTTGTATTGCTAAAATTATCAAACGTTATCAACTGAAAACAGGACTTTACAGTTGAAAAGTAGATACCAAAATGTATAAATGCACTATATCCAAAATATTAACTACTTTAAACAGGATTGCACCAAGACAAAATACCACACCCTAAGCTCTTTGAATCAATTCTTTAAGATACTTTTGCCGTACGATAATGATCTGGTAATTGTTAGTAAATATGCACAACTAAAATAATTTTCATAATTGTGCATATTAGGTTCCTTCCTTACTAAAATATTCAACAAAGCAGAAGTAATTTTCAACAATTGAATTTCTCCCTCAGAACCTATTATCTGTCCAATTTATTCAACATAAAATAGAATTAGGAATGAAGATTTAGTCACTCAACCAATTGCTTACTTATTTTTAAGTGTTCCTACAAAAAGTGGCTTTTACATTTTTTATTGCTTTGTCAGCAATATTAATTTTTATGACTTAAAATTTGTATTTACAAATAAATAAGAATTTATGGTGAAAAAGGGAACAAAGCACTGTAAAACTGAAAATGCTGCACTGATTCAGTTTGACTGACACTGTTTAATATATAAATATTGACATAAATATTGGGACCGAAGTCAGGTTTGATTGAAAAAAAAGCCGTAAACTTTTGTTCCTTGACCATTTCATCCGAAAACAATAATACTTTGTATAATCTTGAAAACAAAATAACATGATACTTCCTCTAACTTAACAAATGAAGTACTAGTTGATTTGAACAATAATGACTTTGAAATCAATATCATATAGCCTTACTTTGACTTATTGAAAATTCTCTATATAGAAAAGACAATATTGCTTATATTGCTTTTATTTGTTAAATTCAGACCAACATTTTAATGACTTGAAAAAAAATAACTCTCGGCATGGTAAAGGGTTTGTTTCTGAGGTAACAATTTTTTTTTTCGGTGTAACGAACAAAACCTGTAAATGTTTATATATTTAGCAAAAACATTTATTTATGACAGTGTTGCATAAATTAAGTAAAGCTTCTGGGGACATTTAATTAAACAGACTTGTGGGAAAGTCATTATGTAATAACGTTGCTGAAGGGGCCTTAATTATAACCCCATTTTTCTACTACCAAAACCATCACTGCAGATAATTTCTACATTAATTACAAACACAATTCACAAGCTTTTCATTAAGACTAATTTCTCCCCAAAATACATCTTCTTTGCAGAAAATCAACAGGACTTTATAAGCTTAATGATAGAAATTAAATTTAACCAGCTAAAGATTGACTGTGTCTGCTGTTTTACACTCCCACAGCCTTAAGCAACCCATCAGACAGACTGTCATTGCATATATATTATGAAGAAATTTGTGATTTTTCACACAGCTCCTTTTTTTTTCTTTTTTTCACTATGTGTACCTGTATGACCCCATACAATGAAAAAAAAAAGGATAACTTTAACAAGAGGGCCATGATGGCCCTGAGGTCGCTCACCTGTATATAGCCCCCCCCCCCCCCGGCCCAATTTTTTCCCAAGGGCTTTTATTTGTTTATTTGAACAGACTTCAGGTAGACACCCATAAGAAGATGTTTCATTCAAAACATCTAAGTTCTAGCTCATTGGGTTTTTTAAAAGAAGATTTTTTAAGTTTTTACTATACACATATAGTTAAAAACAATGACACCCCTCGGGCAGGGCCAGTTTTGACCCCTGGGCTTTTATTTGAACAAACTTTGTAGGTATTTACTTAAAGATGTTTCATGCTTAATATCTAAACTCTAGTTATTTGGGTTTTTTCAAAGAAGATTTTTAAGTTTTGCTATGTATATAAGGAAAATCAATGACCCCCGGGCGGGGCCAGTTTTGACCCCAGGGCTTTTATTTGAACATATTTGGTAGACACCCATTAGAACATGTCTCATGCTAAATATCTTAGCTCTAGCTCTTTGGGTTCTTTAAAAGAAGATTTAATAAGTTTTTACTATATGCATATAAGGAAAATCAATGACCCCCTGGGGCGGGGCTAATTTTGACGCCAGGGCTTTTATTTGAACAAACTTGGTAGACATTCACTAGAAAATGTTTCATGCCAAATATCTTAGCTCTAGCTCTTTGGGTTCTTTAAAAGAAGATTTTTTATGTTTTTACTTTATGCATATAGGGAAAATCAATGACCCCCTGGGGCGGGGCCAATTTGGACCCCAGGGCTTTTATTTGAACAAACTTGGTAGACATTCACTAGAAGATGTTTCATGCCAAATATCTAAGCTCTAGCTCTTACAGTTCTTTAAAAGAAGATTTTTTAAGTTTTTACTATATGCATATAGGGAAAATCAATGACCCCCTGGGGCGGGGCCAATTTGGCCCCAGGGCTTTTATTTGAATAAACTTGGTAGACATTTACTAGAAGATGTTTTATGCCAAATATCTAAGCTCTAGCTCTTTCGGTTCTTTAAAAGAAGATTTTTTAAGTTTTTACTATATGCATATAGGGAAAATCAATGACCCCCTGGGGCGGGGCCAATTTTGACCCCAGGGCTCTTATTTGAACAAACTTGGTAGACATTCACTAGAAGATGTTTCATGCCAAATATCTAAGCTCTAGCTCTTACAGTTCTTTAAAAGAAGATTTTTTAAGTGTTTACTATATGCATATAGGGAAAATCAATGACCCCCTGGGGCGGGGCCAATTTTGACCCCAGGGCTTTTATTTGAACAAACTTGGTAGACACTCACTAGAAGATGTTCCATGCCAAATATCTTAGCTCTAGCTCTTACAGTTCTTTACAAGAAGATTTTTTAAGTTTTTACTATATGCATATAGGGAAAATCATTGACCCCCTGGGGCGGGGCCAATTTTGACCCCAGGGCTTTTATTTGAACAAACTTGTTAGACACTTATTAGAAGATGTTTCATGCCAAATATCTAAGCTCTAGCTCTTAGGGTTGTTTAAAAGAAGATATTTAAAGATTTTTCTTTCGGTTGCCATGGCAACCAGAGTTCTGCATGGAATTAAATTCTTTGAACAATTTTTAAAGGTGACCACCAAAGGAACATTCCTGTGAAGTTTGGATGAAATTGGCTCAGTGGTTTATGAGGAGATGTCATTTAAAGCAAAAGTTTACGGACGGACGACGGACGACAGACGGACGACGGACGGACGGACGGACGCCGGACGAAAAGCGATCACAAAAGCTCACCCTGTCACTTTGTGACAGGTGAGCTAAAAACAATCTAAAATGTTAAAATGAATTTAATATCCACAATACTTGGTTACAAATCAAACAAGATCTGCCCTTGCACAGAATGCTCTTACAGTTTCAGCACTGGATGTAGTAAAAGGGGGACTGATTCTGAAAAAGCACTTGGCGACTTAGCTCACAGCACTCAACCTCACCAGATACCTCATCACAAATAAGTAAAAAAGTAACAACTTTATTTAATGAGGCAACACAGTTGGGCAAATCAGAAAACAAAACACAATGATAATTAAAGCAGAAAAACATTTCTAGTATTCTTTTTTTTTAATTTGGTGATACATAGACCATTTGTATGATATATGTGCCTATTATACACCTTAATCCTCATGTAATTAACCTCCATTTAGGTATCAAAAGTCCTGTCCAACAATTATAAATGTTATTGTTTATATACTTGAGCATCTGTGTAAACAATAAAAGCCAGAGGAGAATTTATATTGTCCATCCTGACCCTGGTCAAAAGGTAGATGTTCATTGTTATTATAACAAATGAGCATGAATGTTATACCTGCTACATAGATTTTTATTTTATTGTTTATGACACGAGCTTCTTTCATTTGAAATAATCCGTCTGCTGCAACTTAATTTTAATTTTGTATAATTTCATGATGTAAGCATTTCTTTAGTATGAAAATGGTATATTTAACTGTTGTGGAAGATTTCACTTTATTCTTTATGACAAAAGCTACTTTCACTTGCCATAATTTGTCTGTAACATTTTTGGTATTGTTTATGATGTAAGCATTTTGTTTATGATATAAGCATTTTTTAAAGTGAAAATGCCATGTTTAAATCTTGTTGAAGATGTAAGCTGCCATGTATTTAAGACAAAAAGTACATTAATTTTGTATTGTTTATGGAGTAAGGTACTTTTTTATACACATGTCACATTGGAATTAGCGAAGATGGGAGATGCCATATGTTTAAAATATATGCAAATTTATTTTGTCTTACTGACAACATAAGAACACGTTCATAAAACATTTCTTTTCTAAGCAAATATAGTCTCTCTTTTTTTTTCATCTATAAAGTACTGACTGAGGTCAACATCTACATTTATGTCTACATATTTTTTTTCGTCATGAAATTTATGGTTTTATATCTGACACTCTCTCCATGCTGTGCATAAAATAAACCTGCCTCGACTATGATCTTTCAGAGAATATATAGAAGTTAATTAAGTCCATGTCTGTATCATTCTTAAGCAAATTATATCACAAATGCAAGGCATCATCTGAAGCCATACAAAACCTTTCAACAAAGTCTATAATGTTCCCTAAAATAGAATTTCTTTATTAACAATATTTACCATTTGTCTGTCATCATAATAAACCCACAAGAAATTCAGATAAATCACAAAATTACATGGAGTGTAGAAAGTTCACATTTACCTTACTTCTAAAATTCAATGTCTTTAATAAATTGCACTATGGTTTGCCAAACTGAGATTACTTGCATTATGCACCATCCTTTATGAAACATTGCATTATTTAATTGGTTTGTATTTTTAACCAAAATCGGAAAAAAAAATAAACACAATTGATGACAAAATAAGGAAGCAGGTAATGAAATACATGATTGTATCATACACTATC